AACGGAACCGTTATTACCATAATTAAACGTAATCCGCGAAGTTCATTGTTTCAATTAGAAAAACGACGTTTACAAACTCGGCCGCCATGTTTACGCGCGACGAGCGACACCAATTCCGCTCACGGCGATTACCACGACCGCGGACCAACAAATGTCACCCTTTCCGGACGGATGCCGACATTTTGGCGAGATCGAACCTTCATACACGAAATGCTAAGTTAATTACAAACTACTTAATCGCTCGAATAGCAGGAGATCTGCTGAAGGTTTTATATACTTCAACGAATCCTTCCATTACTTTTTGAAATACTCAAAATCCTCAAGAGAGAATGTTTACGCCATCGAATCCTGCTCGATGTCTCGAAAACACCGACGTTCGCCGTCAAAGGATTAAAGAATTCGATCATTCGTTCGCGGGCAAGAAAACACGGACGTGTCCTTGGCGAGCGGCAAATGTTTCCTGCTCCGATCGCGAGAGACGCGGGTAAAAGGATCCGTTTGTTCCCTTTACATTTCACGAGATTTGCATCGGGTCGCGGCGTGCGCGATCGGCCACCATTTTGGAAGAAAAAGTGGCCGCCGGGGGACGGCCGGGATCAAGAGCCGATCGCGACCAGTGCAAGTGTATTTTTTATTCGGCGACGGGATCGTTTCGTACCGTCTTTCCTCGCCCCTTTTATTCTCGTTTTTGTTTGACTCCTCTGTTCCGTTTGTCTTTCGTTTTTTCCCCCTTAATTTCATCCTCGCAATCTCGAAACTGAAGAGGTAGGTCTGTCTCTTCCATTCCCGGCGGTGTTTATATCTCGCCGGCACCGGCTGGGTTGCGTTAGGTTCCTCGACCTTGCCGGTCGTGCAGGTTTCAACTCGCAACGCGCCTCCAGACGTCCCCGTGTATACCGGGTGTACCTGTGTGGAAATACCTGACACGAAAGTGGACACTGGCCTCCTCGGGACGCGGCGCGGCGGTTCGCGAACGACGCCAACACCTCGCCGGCCTCTCCGATCGGATCTGCGGGATCGATTTGTCGATTCGCTTCCACGAATAAATCTCACCCGCTTGTATTTCGACAATTTGTTCACTGCGAAAGAGTTTCGAACGTTCGCGTGTACCGAAAGGATCGAATTTTTCAAGTTCCCGTTATTCCTTTGTAAACAGACTCTTGATTCATCTCTTACCGATTTTCATTGCTCCTCGAATGCTCCGTTGTATTATGAAAACGATTATTTATAAAGATTCCTATGAATCTCTTCCAGAATGTATTCCACCAGTGCAAATCGGAGGAAAGGAAGTCGAGAATTATTGGTGCAGGTCGCGTAACCGGTCGCGACTGCTCGCAGCTATTTTATATTCTGCATTGTTGTCTGCCATTCTAACCTTCCGAAGAATTGCTCTCCGATGCTTTCTCGCTTTTACTGTCAATAATTCTCTAATACGCAAGGAACCGCAGCGTTCCATCTGTCACTCATCCTTTCCCTAGCAAAGACAGAGTTGTTAACCCTTAACGGAGCAGTGCCATATTGACGTCACGGCGTCCAACGTCGCCATATTCGCGACGAAATTATTTTACCATTTTCATCACTGTTACTCTTGTATTATTTACAATCAATATATTAAGTATTTACTAGTTCATTTCTGTGAACTTTCCGCTTGTCTATGTTACAGTATTTCTCGGTGATAAGTAAACGCGAACTTCCGCTGTGTTAGGGGTTAATTATTTAGTACCACGATACTAGTTTTATTCGACACCGGTTACCTCGCGAGTTGCCATTATTTCCTTGTCATATGGAAGCCCTTGCTCATCGATGACTGCGCCAGTCGACGCGTTAAACTATAATCGGATCGAGTCGCGCCGCTGTGAATTCGTGAAGCGGGAAACCTGGAGCAGCTCGGGCCGCGAGGGGGTTAACGCATCGGGAATCCACCGGAAATATTAATAGGGCGCAATAACGCTTCCCCGAGCGCGCGGCGCGACGCAACGCGTTAAATATATTCCCGTTTTCGCCTCCCGCGTGGCCGGTTTCTCGGTACGGGGCGCCTCCCTGCATCAGGGTTATTATTGACCTCGCTATTTCCGAAAACCGTCACGGAGTCGCGGCGGCGGTCGGCCGCGTTCTTCCTGGAACCGGGAGCGAGCGGGCGGCATGAAAATTCTAAAAGGATCGGAATGCAGCCACCGACGTTCCACGCGGGCTCCACCTTCCCCGCGGGATGTGCACAGATCTCAACCGTTGATTGGGGAAATCGATTAACAGTGAAACTACCGAGCAGTAGAACCGCTTCGGGACTCTAAGAATGCGTCTATTGAGAAATTACGAGTGATTTGTGAATCACTCTGCGCGTTAGCGAATCGATTTCCTTAGTAATTTCCTGGGGAATTACCTTTTCAATCATTGTAAACAAAGAAACCAGGAACGGGTAATTTCGATCTACTTGCCAGTTCTAGTGTTAAATTTACGAAAGTATCTTTGTCATGTTGGAAATGGCGGAATAGTTCACTCGATTTCTCTTCAGAAACGAAATGGTACTTATTATGTGTATTATTACTAAGTCGAATGAGTAACCAGGGCGACCTTAAAATTAGGAAAATAATTGGACACGACGACCCGTTCATCGTTGAATCTGTCTTGGATCGCGATACACTTCGAAATACGTTTCCATATGTAAACCGAGGCTAGAATCTCGAAGGAATTCGAGCAACGCGGATTCCAGGTACCGTTTTCCGACTTATTCCCATTGGAACGAATTGCTCAGCTATTCGATAATTGGCTGCCGGACCACCCAGAAAAAAGACTGAGAAACATAGCTCTCTACAATAGGAATGTTAGTATATCTGCGGAAGTTTAATAAGAAATTCGATAATTTATATGAAACACTGACACAAATACTCCAATTTAGGAACCTCAAAAGATAAACATGAAGCTCGACGAAAACCCTATGAAATTCCGAATTTCTAACCCCCATTTTCGTAAAACGACGCCACTTCGTTAACGACATCGAGCCACTGATAAAGTTCACTGGGTCTAGTTCACGCGTACCGAACTTTCTCCGAAAGCGAGCGACATGGAAGCGGAACACGCGATTCGTAACGCAGTAATCGGTTATCTAATCCCTTATTACCGTCGGCGATCCCTGATAATCCCCGGAGTCACGAAGGATACATTTCCCTGAAACCCCTGAGTCACCTCCAGTGCGACACTCGACAAACATCACACTCAATAACCATATAAAAGATAATCTTCCGACACTGTACATTTCTCGTAAACGATCTGTCGATGAAAGTCTAATCTTCGTGCAACTCCGATTTCTTGGTAGCCAGTGTGATCCATGGTAACCAGAAAAATTGAATCAGAGTTGACCGAGGAAAGGGTTAACCCCTTGCTGTATGATTTCCTTCTCAACTGTGATAGGTACAACCACTTCACCATTGAACATTTAGTGGAAAAAGAGGAAAATCGTAGGGATATTCTGTGCCCATTGCTCTAAAATATAGTAATTAATAATAGGAATATTTAATTAGAATTCAAAAGAATCGAGTAACGTTTACATTATACTAGATTGTATTTGGAATTTTCACGAATCTGACACGATATTACAAGGCAACGGGTTAACCATTATTACATTGCTCATGTATCAAATCAAAGAAACTGTTGTGCTATCAATGTATTATCTCCAAGTGAAATTTGCTCAAAGTAGAATAGACAATTTTGCAGTACTTCTTCGAAATTGCCGATGGTAAAATGTTACGCGAGCTCGGTACAGAAAGTAAACACTACGTCAGGGAGTTAATAATATTCCGTGGCTCGGTACAGAAATAGAAGACCAAACGCGGCGAAAATAGGGGAATATAATGGATAGTCCAGAAGAAGGTGTATCTGTACAATTTGAAAAAGGACTCGTGAAACTCGATCGGCCGCGTGTGGGAAAACTGAATGTATTTTCGTGCGGCGAGCCTCCTATGCGGGTTGTTGGGAGGTACTCAAATAATTCTCGCCGCTTCTGAAGGGAGGAACAGACGTATGGACCGACCGGTACCAACTATTCGCCGGGAGTCTGTCTGCGAGACACGAATATTCGTTGCCGGCTAGACAAGGGCGGCATGCGGGTCGACCGGGCAAGAATGATTGGAGCATAGCAACCGGTACCAGACGCGCATCGGAGAAAATGAATTACCATATTTTACGGTGCCTTGGAATGCCAAACGAGTTGTTTATTGGGCATGAGTCTCGGCGCGGGGCTATGTCGCGGACATAGTCGACCGGCAACGACTACCTGTTACCCAATTAATCGCTGCCCACGTTCGATGGGGTCCAGTTCTCCGGCTCCGAGGATCGCTCGCGTCGGAGGACAATAGTTCCTCGACGCGTCGTCCACGGACCGGCGAAAAATTTTCACGGTTACGTGCGATTCGATCGCTAGTTTCTCTCGTAAATTAAGTGTATTCGACGCGGCGCGAGAAACTGTTTCTGCTGTTGAAAACCGCTGTTCGCGGACTGACCCTGAAAAACCTCTCTTTCAGCACTTAAACTTAGAGGTAGTATTATCGTTGGATTCGGAGAGTTTTCATTAGATTTTTTAGTTGCTACTCGTACTGTTTGCTAGCGACGAGATCTGCGACACGAAGACTGAAGGAAAGTTCAGTTTTTAGGAGGTTGAACGGTTCGACGTTTAAATTGGGAAGAATTCAATTTCAAGTTGATACCTCCGGTTTTAATCGGATGTATACTTTTTTAATGGCGATATTAATGTAGCTCATATAAAACTGACTCGTTGAAAGATGGTATTAAACGTTTAAGTTAAAATTTCTTATTTTCAAATGTCGAGGAAAAAGAATGCCCAGAGAATTTGCGGAATTTCGAATAACAGAGAGGACCGAGTCAGTCATTTGAACTCGTGACTGGCTCGGTTACCGATAGCAACCGGTCGATCGCGATAAACGCGCCGTTTTTCGTCTGGGAAAAGCTCGTTGCGATAACGATCTCGTGTTCTTTGTGCGTTACAGAATTTCCAGGACTTGGAAGCTGAAAAGGCAATAATGGGCTCCATTGTGTATTGCATCCATCACAAGGACGGGTGCAAGTGGTCGGACGAACTTAGAAAGTTGAAGGTGAGTCCCCCGCGTCTCTGATTTTCCTTGTATCCTCTTTCCCACCGGAATGAATGCGCACGGCAATTAAACGCATCGTTCGGGACAATTAGAGGATAGGAGACACCGTGTTCCAACGTCGGACGGTCGGAAGGAGACCGTCAGTCAGGATAAAAGCGAAATAAATTGGAATTCGATAAAATTGTACTACCATACGAGTTCAATAGAAATTATTATTCAATTCATTATTTTATATTTCACCGAGTTCAACTTGAATTGAAACATTAGTGCATCAAAATTATTTTCGGCTAACAAAGGACTTCTGAGAGCAAAGGTTAATTAGTTTCATAGATCCTCTCGAATTTCATTAACAGACTTACGGAACGTATTATATTGAACTTTTTCAATATTATTTAGTAATAGTTTAAGTCAATTTTCATTCTTGCAGTTATACGAATACGCATTGCTCTAGTTTCGAAGCTGCAATTTTCGCAGTTTGTATAAATAAACACAGTTTCCTAGGAACAATAGAATCAAGTGTATAAACGTCCGTAAATCTACTGTCAAATGTTCCTTAACACTCGTTGAAGCGTGTTGAATGTATTGTAACGATTTCGTTGATCTGTTTAGGCTCACCTGAATACCTGCAAGCACGATGCGGTGCCCTGCAGCAACAAGTGCGGCGCAATGATCCCGCGCGTACTCATGGAGGACCATTTGAAGTACACTTGTGCTCAGCGGCGAGCACGCTGCGACTTCTGTGCCAAAGAATTCACCGGTCACACGCTCGAGGTAACTGCTCCCGCATTAATTAGAGAACCGCGATCGGGTGCCAGGCCGTTAACTGTACACAACCAACCGGGGAACAGAAACAAAGAGGAGGCGCGCGCGGAACGAAAGGAAATTTCTTGAATATTTTTACGGGCCCGCCGGCCGTTGCAACGGCCCGCCGAAGTTTTTCACGGATGGCAGCCTCGTCGGACTCCGAATGGCCCGAGGCATAGTCCTTGACCTCCTCTTTTCGTGAACGTCTTGAAATATCTTCGAGCCGAATCAGTCAATGCTGACTTCAAACGCCGGCTAGCAACATCGTCGGAGTTGTCATAACTGCTCGTTGAAGTCTGCGTTTGAGGGACTTCCTTGAGAAGTCACCTTTGATGATGAATGCTCCGAAGGTAGTCTCAGTGTGTTAGCACTTGAACGATCCCGTGTCGGGCTACTTAAACTGCTAGGTGTTGCCACATCTGTTTCCTAATTTATATTCAGCTCTGAGTGAGGTATCGTATTATTTGAACGAGTACCTTTTTTAAATGGATTACTCGTTCCGAGTTTCTAGACTGAGGTAGATCTTGAAGAGTGTATGAAGTAAATCATCAGTCTCGATGTCGTTAGATGTAGGATTAAGGTAGCGTGTCTCCAACTTTGTTACTGATGTTCTGACTCGTTTCTTTGCAGAAGCACACGGGCACGTGTGGCTACGAGCCCCTTTACTGCGAGAACAAATGCGGCATGAAGGTGCAGAGAAGGCATCTCAGCCAGCACAAGCTGGGCGAGTGCGCGAAAAGGCTGGTGGCCTGTCGATACTGCAACAAAGAGTTCGTCTTCGACACGCTCGGTGCCCATCACACCAAGTGTGGCCGTTTCCCGGTCGCCTGTCCTCATCGCTGTGAAACTGCAGTGCTACCGAGGGAGGACTTGGAAGTTCACTTGAAGGACCACTGCACCACGCACCTTCTGTCCTGTACTTTCAAGGATGCTGGTTGTCGCTTCAAGGTAAATCGAGAAATCATTATTCTCTGCGGATATACACTGTCGCCTTTGAAGATGTTTCTAACAGATTTCGTTCCTTATCGCAGGGAAACAGGTTCTCGTTGGATAAACATTTAGAGGAATCCGCGAAGATGCACCTGAGCCTGATGTGCAGTGTGGTGACAAAGCAGCAGCATCAAATAACCAGCCTGAAGTCAGCTATCAGTAAATTGTCATTAAATTACACGGGCACGCTGATATGGAAGATCACAGACTACAGCGCCAAAATGTCTGAGGCAAAGGCCAAAGAGGGCATGGAGTTGGTTAGCCCTCCTTTCTACACTAGTCAATATGGTTACAAGCTGCAAGTATGTACACACGCGATTATACTTAATTATAAAGCCTTAGCGCGACGTCCTTTACTGACAGTGATATTTCACTTTTCCAGGCATCGGTTTTCTTAAACGGAAATGGAACCGGCGAAGGAAGTCACATCTCCATATACATAAAGATTCTTCCCGGGGAATACGATGCTCTGTTGCGGTGGCCATTCTCTCACAGCGTGTCGTTCACCATATTCGATCAGACGGTGGTCGCGGAGAAGGCGTGCAATATTGTTGAAAGCTTTATACCCGATCCAACATGGAAGAACTTCCAGAGGCCCAGTCGCGAGCCTGACTCCCTCGGTTTCGGCTTTCCCCGATTCGTTTCCCACGAAATGGTGAAGAAACGGCATTTCGTGAAAGACAACACCATGTTCATACGGGTGAAGGTCGATCCTAGTAAAATCGTGGCCGTCTAAAAACGTAACGGTCGTGTACGATCAGAATTCGATAGCGTGTACCGTACACTAACTCGTCTACTATCGTTCCACGTAACACACTTTGATATCGTTTTACGTAAATAGTTTGCGATGCGGTTGTTACGCATTTCTTATGTTACACGTAATGACAGTCCAGTAAATGTTTCACGATAATTGTATTTATTTACGTCGGCCGTGTACTTGGTGTGATAGTGCGGAGTACTTTACATACAGGGCACATGGTACTTACATTGTATACCATAGTAACATTTATTCAGGGTATCTCTGAAAGTTTTAGAAACAATAGTACAGCGGTATCTCCGAATTTGTACGATTCGCTCGATTAAATGTCGTGTTTGGACTACTCACCTTCCGAGGGAAATATCAATACGTTGATAAAGTCATAGCGATAGCTGGAAAACTGTTCGATCGTGATTTAACTCCAAGTATCCGAACATGCACATCACTGCCCCGAAATCGATTACAATTTTAGAGGTATTGCCGTTAATGTCCTAGGACGAGATCTTTCATTGGGGGACTGCATAAAGATGTTCGTATCGCGTTCTACGATTTTTTTGTATAAATTTTTAATTATCCTGACTTATTTTCTAACTAACGTTTTGTACTGTGAAATTGATAATTTCCGTTGCTTTACGGTTCCCAACTATTGTCATCGCTTATTCGGCAAACATGAATTTCCATTCCGTGTGACGTTACAATCGATATTCCACAAGTTAACGTCACGTTGAAATCGTAATATTAAAAACTTGAAAAGTTCTCTGATCGAACAATATCGTGTTCGCTGAAGGGGTTTACTTTTAAGAATTCAAATCAAAGATTATTAAAGGACTGTGTACTATAAGCTTAGGGAATGTAAATATTGTGAAAAGAGGAGGGAGCGAGCGAGCAATTTGTCAGCGTGACAGATCTACTAGTGTAAATACGCATTTACTACACGTTAATGATAATGAGAAATTGTGATTGAGATGCTAGTGACTGTATGTAATGATTTAAGAATAAGAAATAATAAAACTATTATATCATGTTCGTATATTACAGATCAGTAGAGTAACATTTTTTTTATCCATACCAATAATCTTTTCCATTTATATAAAATTGACTAATCAAATGCAATGCAACTTAATAATACACAAATACCATTACTATATTATACATACAAGATAATTTAAAAATATAACAATCTCAACTTTATAAGCTTTGAGAACTATCTGGCATTTCTGAGTCTGTCATCCTGTCCATCTAAAAAATGAAATTAATTTATTATTAAAGAAGTCATACTTGATAAGTTATTAATAGACATTAATGTATTCAAACACTTACATTTTGAATCCTATACATCTGATCCAAAGCATGTGGTAACAAAGGTCTTACACTATTAATTTCCATGGCAGTTAAATGATCCAATTTTGCATGTAGACCTTCACTTTTTAGAAAGGCACTTATTGATGTACGTAGCTTGGACATTCTTATGTCCCATATATCCTGTAATTCGCGATATATATATATATATATATATATATATATATATATATATTAATATAAATGAAATAAACATTTGACATCTGTTTCACCTTTATTGCTGTCCTTATCCTGTCTGAATCAGGTATATCTTCACTGCCATGGCTTAGTAGAAGTTGCGCTTCGTCTATGTAATGATTGCTAGGCATTTTGGTAAACAATCTAGAAAAATATAAATGTATCACATAACGAAATAATACGAATAGGAAAATCTGGGCTTACTTCGATAATTTTTCTTCTTCTTTCGCTTCGTTCAAGATATCGGCATCCATCCAATCCTGATGAATAATTCGACACTTTTGTTGCTGTTTCAAATTCACTGCTAACCAGATTGGAACTTTGACAGGTATACCAGCACGAAAAGGCCCAACTGATCCCGATATCAAATGGATCATATCGAAGGTAAAGTTTGGCACAATTGAGACCAACTCCTTTTCACCAAGAAACTCTACTTCACTTGGATCCATAATTAACTGTTATTTCCTCATTAATTTCCGAACTAGATAATATTCACTCTACAAATTTCGATTTCCTCGTACCCGCATCGATCGCTGCATTGACAATAAGTTTTGGCGGGAAATGAAGTGTCCTCCATGTTTGAAACGCTACCTGTTGCTGAATACGCTAACTTCAAATGCATCTAAGACGCAGGCGCAAAGTAACCGCCATTTGAAGACGACAGTTCACAGAGGTACGAAAATATTTTTACACGTAAGTACAACTATATATTTAAACAACATTATATCTTTGGAGATAATAATCAACGAATACTTCCATCGAAATGGAGATGACAATGTTGTAACATTTATTTCGCTTAATTTGTAATATACATACCAATTTATCACTAACATACAAAGAACCTTACGTAGCGATTTCTTTGAGACTTTCACAAATTCAAATATCTATTCGCCAATCAGTTTTTTTAGAATTAACATCAAAACGATCTCTAATTAAAAATTCTCTTTTCCCGATTACTCTTCGATTTCCGTTTCACAGTTACATACAATTTCCATACAAGATCGTTGTGTTCCGTTATAGATATGGTCTTACAGATATGTCATTGAACAATCTACATGTCCGTATACAAATGATAATAAACAAATTCTCTTGCTAGAACCTAGTCACGAAATAATATTACTCGATGTCCGTAAAAAAGTGGATCGATCATCCTCAGTGCATACTCTAACCGTGCTTAACATTATCACCTGTCATCGTACATTCACAGTACCGAACGTCAACAGTGAAACATAATCTCAGAACATGTTCAGTCGAATATTCCCAGTCTTAATGCAAGATGTACTAAAATACAGATAATAATTTAACAGTGGACACCCACGCAACGGTAACGATATTAAAAAACAAAAACAAAAAACAAAATAACAAATCAAACGCGTCAGAGGTTTTATCCCGCGCAATTACGATGAGTATCAACGCCAGGTCTCGGAATATCGTACATCGAATGCGACGTTAACATCAAAAATACGTCGCGTTCGCGATCTAGCTAATCCATTTGTGCTCGAATCATCGATTTCTCATTGACAGCGGATAAAGAGGTTATCAACCCTCTTCCTTCTGCTCCGTCAGTTCCTCGTCCGCTAATTCTCGAACGGAATCGACGTGATTCACGTCCACCTCGATAACGAAAATCGACGCAGGTGGTGTTTCTTCGACGCGATCGATTTCCGCCGGAAGTAACGGTACCAAGGGCTTGTAAGTCTGAAGTTCTATCGAGGAGACGCAAGATGGTGCTCTCGATAGGCTCTTGTTCAACCGATTATTCGAAGAACTATCGCTCTCGCTGCGATGCTCCTCGTTGCTGTTCTGGCTCGCGTTGTCGTTGCTCAAACCGTCGATTTCTTGTTTGTCGCTGTGGGACGAGCTCGACTCGTCGGGAGCCTCTTTCTCGCGAATCGAGGCGCTCCTAGGTGTAGCCGAGGGTTTGAATCTGACGTCAGTCACCTGGATGCGGATCACACATCAAACAGTCGATAAGATAAGATATATTTCCAATAAGCTGTGGGAACTCAGATAAAATCGCAACTTTATTTAAAGGAACTCGACGAAAAACCATCGGTATACAGATCGAGTATGCACTGATAACGACGGGATCATTAAAAGCCGATTATTCGAGTTTAATGACAATGTTATCTACTCTCAAAGTAGCGTGCGATTTGTGGTTCTACTTTCAGACAGCAGATGGCAATCGCAGCATTGTTCATGGAGATTAACACGTTGAACGCACGATTTTAAGCTGTAGAATATGCGAAACGAAGGAAATGCAATGTTTAATTATTTCATTCAATTGCGTTGTTTTTATCGCAGGTATGTCTTGCTGAATGTCACCGTAATAAGCAGCGTTATTTACAATGTAGAGATGTCTTCAAATAATCAGTGTTTATACGAGGAAATCGCAGGAATTGAATTCAAATTAAGTGGTGACAGTCACCTCTTGAATGCAAAGGGTTAAATGATTCTTTACTAAAAAGCAAAACGTCTGTCCACAGAGTGAACATCAGTGGCAGCTAACCTGGCGCAACAAACTGGACCGTTGGCTCCTGGCAGCGGACATTGCGATTTGCCTCTGCAGTTGTCTCTGGGAGCCGACCAACGATCCACGGTCCTGGATCACGCTGATCATGCTGGACTTGACGTCGCTGTGCGGGAAGAGGAGCCTCCACATGAAGTTCTTCAGCGCCGCCCGGAAGTCCTTCAGGTGATAAGCGTAGAGCAACGGGTTGCCGGCCGAGTTCAGGTGCGACAGGATAATGCAGAAGTTCATGAGGATGTCGTTCACCTTACACCCGGGACAGAACGCCATCACGCAGTTGATGGTGTACAACGGGAACCAACAGATGATGAAGAACACAACGATCCGCGAGAGGTTCTGCGTGGCCTTCACTTCCCGTTTCCTGGCTGCCCCGAGTAGTCTCAACATAGGACCCGTCGTTTGGTTTCGGCGGCCAGGATTCATCGTTACTATTTGCTGTAACTGTTAATGTATCATCGTTCAGCCTAACAAGCGAGCTGCAATTCTTAATGAAGATACAATTAATGGAACAGATATGGAAAAATAGCGCAAACGGTATTGGTCCTTTCAGGTGGTGCAAGTTTATGACCTTGAATGAGGAAATATTTTAGGGAAAGGCGGTGATTTTCATTCGAAAGCTGATCAAGCGAGGCTCATTCTGTACTTCCTTTCTTGTTTTCGTTACTTTCTTCATTCGGGAGATGCATCACCTTGCCGGCTGATCATTGATCAGCACCCGGTGCACCTCACGAGATGAGAACAGTACTCACATGCTTTGACAGAATCGGAATAATCCGATCAATCAGCGGCAATAGATTAGCAGCGAGTTTCTGGTTAATTACGGGGAACCATTAACACGTTCAGTGCCATTTCTGTAAGAACCTTTAAGAGACGCATGGTCACATGGTGTACGTTACAAAGCAGCGAGAGCATAAAGGAATATCAAAACATATAAAAATGACCAGAATCTTCGATACAACTTAATATTTTATTAAAGAAATCAATACAGTGCATAAGAAAAATATAACCGAAATTTCCGTGGCACGGAACGTGTTAATCTGCTCAGTTTCTATTGTCAAACCGCGGAACAAGCTCGAACAAGACACAAAGCTTAGTCTACATCATTCCTGAAATTACGTAGAATCCCAGACACGTGCCGGTTCTTCGTTACTTCGTCTCGCTGATTACGGGTCAGTCGCGTGCATGTTTACGACAAAAGTGTCTGACCTGTTTTACGACCACTCTGTATATATGGGCGTAGAACGCTGCAATTATCAGCGCGGGGAAGATGATCGTGGCGAAGTAGAGGAACACGAGGTAGTCGTAGTCCATCACCTCGGTGAAAATGCACTTCTCGTTTGACTTTTGTCCGGTGTTCCAGCCCAGCAACGGCAGGAAACCGACCAGCGTCCCGGTGACCCAGCACAGGCAAATTATACCTGCAACCAGTCGAAATCGCCGTTGTACAAACCGTTCCATCGACGACGGTGTTCGTTCAAGAATCTTTGAAGCCGTCCCTGCAATTTTTCGACCACTTCTATCATAACAAACGACCTGTCACGGATAGAGGCTAAGTACCGATGAAGCGGATCGATAGATTATCATGGAGATTACTCTCCGCGGTTTTGATAAATCGAGCTGCCCAGGCGGGGCACAATATTCCCCGGAAAATTGAATGAGATCCTTCTTCGGGTCCTCCCGTTTTTATCTTGTCGAGGCCTGAACGAGAGGAGAAGGTCCTTCGGTGCAAAAAGCGTTAGAACGGAAAGTCGGTCAACGGTACCGATGATAGGAGCGCACATGAACGTTATCGATTCCGGAGCAGGGTAATAAACGCACCTTTTTCGCTCGCCGGGAAGATGGTATCGGCCGGCCTGCTCGTAATTAAAATCACTCGGGCCATAAACAGGCGAAACGCTTGAATTAATCACGCCCGTCCGGCGTCGGCGGAACGAGGAACGTGTAACCGGACGATTAATTGTTTTTCTTCCACGAATTGTCTTTCGATTCGAGAGGGGCCGTTTTTATTGTCGCCCCGCGTGAAATGCGTCGTCCTTTTTACTGGGTTTTAATAACGCCGTTGGACCGGCGTCGCCGTTAATATTCGACGTCACGCGTTCGAAGGTCTAGTAATCGAGCGGCGATAAAAGGAATTCATAGTATCCGTCGCGTATTCGAGAATTCTCGGCGCGCTGAGATTATTTCACGTTTCCCTGTTCAGATGCAAGGTACGAAGCCAGGATTTCCATCCATAGGAAACAGAGCGAGAGGAAAGAGGAAAAGTCTCTCGGGAAATCGAACGCATGATGATCGCATACGTGGGTTTCGCTTTGAAATATTTCTTACGTTTCCCCGATGGTTTATCTAGCTTTTTTGTGTAACGTCACAGCGAATAATTGTATTACGATTTTGCAGCGAGTGAAAGTCAGGAGCGAGGTTGCCTCGCGGCTGGATGGAACGAAGAAATCGGCCCGAGTAGTACGAGTCAATCGTTGTGTGGACTCAGCTGGAAATTCGAAGAATCGTTACGCAATCCGACCGACCAATTGAAGTGGTGTTTCCCAGAAACGTTCTGCACGTATCCGTTTAATTAATCTGAGGTGAAACAACGTTTACACGCAATTATAATTTGCAGAATTGTTTACCCAGGGGCACTTGTTACACGCGCGATCGGACGTGCATCGGAATCGAGTGTTTTGCTTTGCGTTCCAACAAGAAATTCAAACCGTCGAACAACTTAATCGCCGGATAATGCATTGGCGCGAAAGATCATCCTATAATCTCGCATGAATTTTCAGTAAATTCGCGGTTTCGCCGATAAATCCTCGAGATAATGATGGATGCCAGTCACGTATCAGGGTGCATTAGCATATGAACTATCGAGCCGTTTCGCACCTGATTGGACGACATTGTAACGGCGCGTTCTCTCTAGTGCGATATTGCCAGCATCGTGTAACAAAGTTACCGTTTCATTTAGAATTCTCGAGATTCGTTAAATCTCACAAATGGTATACGAGGAACACACGCGCGCATTGCGAGCAACGGGAATTTTAAATTCGGTTGAACTTATGCGTAGTCGCGAGAAGCAATTAAGCTGGCAACAGGTGGCGTCTGTGCTCGGCAAATAAGACGCTCCAGGGTACGTTCCACGGAATAAAGTATCGAGAAATCTCGTTAGTTTATTTCCAACTTCAGGAAACTCCTTTCTTCTATTATCCGAATTATCGAGCACGATTTTCCAACGAACAGCTACCACGCAATCGTAATTTCATCGCAATTCAAACTGGTTCCAAGTTTCGGACAACTAATTTCCAGCAGTGCAGCGCGAGCGCGGAAATGTTTCGAACAGTCGTCAATATTCCATTAACCTAACGTACTACATTTTCCAGTCCATGATCCATCACGACGACACACCGATAAGACCGTAGCAGCCGCAACCCTTAAAGAAGCCCCATAAAACAACATCTACAGTGACAAGCATTCCACGCGTTCCAACGTAACGTACCATTAAGCGTATACTACTATTCTCAATTACTTGAAAATTCCAAGCTAAAATTCCAAAGAAACGCTAATCGTTTCAACAAAATAACCGTTCGTGTCAACGTTAACACAGCACGTCGATCGTATACGTCTGAGGACATAAATTCTCGAAATCCCTGTTCCGAGAGTTGCCGCGATACGTCCAACTACCGGATCATCGTCCCTGGAGTCACCGAGCCCCATCGTTCATCCCTTACCTATGGCAGTTTTAGTGCGCACGGTGCGTGAGTATCCCATGGGATGGAGTATCGCCCAGTAACGATCCACGGACACCGCGACCAGGCAGAAGATGCTGATGGTGCAGAGCACGACCAGGACAGAGACGGTGAAGAGGCAGGCATGGAAGTTGTTGGGCAGACCGATGCTGGCGAGGATCGCGAACGGTATGGCGAACAGACCGACCAACAGGTCCGCGGTGGCCAGCGAGATGATGTAATAATTGGTCCGCCTGCGAAGCTTCCTCTCCTTGCTGAAGACGACGATGACGAGGCCGTTGCCGAGGACCGCGCACACCGCCACCAGAATCTCGCAGACCGTGTACGGCAGGTTCAGCTCGAAGCTGGGGGACGCGGTCACCGCGGTCACGCTCAAGTTGTTAACCGACTCGGTGGCATTTAACGGAAGTTCCATCACGGCGACGCCTCTGTCCACTCTCTGTCATCTATATCCTCCCCGCGGTTCAGTCGGCGAAGGTTGCGTCCGCTGCTACTGGCTCCGGTCCCGCCGGCTCGATCCTGCGTCTCCGCGCGTGCCTCGACAAACGAGCGTCCGCACGCGATAACGGGGCAACTGCCATCGTCCTCATCGACGATCAACGTCCGGTGTTGTCCGTCTCTTCCGGGCTAATTGGAACACCCGTTCGCCGGGTGTCGCGTGACGGACGCCTGCCCCCGCCGTTTTTTAATGGATCGCCTTAATCCTCGCCGCGCGGAACTGCCATCACGGTTAACGGGCCGAGCGTCACGCGAGCCTGATGCCGCAACTTTTAAATAGCTCCTCCGCGGTCCGCCCGGAGATGCGAGTTGCGTGCTGACAGGACACCTTGAAACCCACGGCTCTTTCTCTCTTAACCGGGGGGAGAGACCGGCGGACCGGGAGCGAGGATGCTCCTAACGGCGTCGATCAGCAGCGCGTCGATGAGGAAACAAAGCGTCGGTTTCCGATGACCGGGCTCATAGATCTCGCAAAGTCAACAGCTGAGAATATAGTCCACATCAATCATTAAACTGCATCCGAGGTACTTATCGCTCGCCGAGAGCCCAAGGATTTGGAGCCTAGCCAACAGCCGCACTCCGTGCGAATTATACAAGACTCTATATCCAGCGGGACGGTGGAAAATACACTAGCCAATCTACTTAGGCCCAACGATCGGAACGTTGATGGTAACCGACACTAATTGTCCACAGGCGTCGGCGATGTTCGAAGAACGACTTCACCGGTAAGCACTGTTGCTCCTCGCCGAGGATCGAGACGACACCTCTGCCTCGCGGGAACGATTAAAGTAACGCAACGGTCAATCGGAATGACGGCAATCATCAATCCTCCTGGACTGGGACCGCCTCTATGCGCCGGGAAGTCCCGCGGAAGGTCAGCTTTTGTGGCCGGCTATTCATTCGAGTAGCGCGCGGCGCGTTACGACTTCCATAAATGTAATAAGCCTCGTTGAGAGATGGTCCCGGGCCATTCAGCAGCTTCTGGAGCTGGCCTCAGGCAATCTGCCGCGGGTCCCGCTCCACAATAGAACGACGCGTACCGGCGCGAGCGAAAACGGCGTTCATTGTGTCGGTGTTTCGAGTTCGGTCACGTTTCGGCCGCGTAGCCGCGTTGCTTATTAGGTCCCGCGAGCTACTCGCGGCGCATGTTCATCCGTAGGGCGATATCCGGCGCGCGGCGGCACGCGTGCCGTTTCAAGGGTACCAGGGTCACGACCTAACGATCGTCTATCGCTGGACTCGAAGATCCACCTGCTATCGGATTTTCAATTACGCCCATTTCTTTGGAAGACTCCAGCCACTTCCGCGGACTCTTCCACGCTCCACAGTCGTTAGAAAAATCGTCTCCGCGGTTTGAATAATTTAGTAGAGATCTCGGAAGCTCTCGCTTTTAAAGGCTACCGGAAGACTCTTCGACCCTTCTGCGTCTTAACTCCTTTCGCGAAGCGTTCTCACTTAATCTCCTGGAAAAGGACTTCGCGGAGATCCTCGATCGCTTTCGTAAGATTAGAACCTTCAGAGATCCTCTGATCTTCAACAGGCGTCCTTAGGATTTACCGATTCGCACTGGTTTCTCGCAGTTTCCTCTGTTACTCCGGTTGTTCGAGCACCGTGGTCCCAGTTTCCATTGAATCCTAAGAGGAGAGTCCGCCGCGTCGAAGTTGCTCGGTAATCTCTGGATCTTTCGGCTTGAATTAAAATTCATAGCTGCTCGAGCTGGGAAAGCCTCTTCTCATCCAGCTTCCTTGCCTCAACGATCGCTGACGTCGCGTCGCAGCTGGGAACTGTGTAAGAAACTTCACCGGGGCCGATTAAGATTTTAATTTCACGGACTTACGACCGGAAGCGCCGGCGAGGGGAGGATCAGCGTCGATCGCCTCGATCGCGGTTACGTCGCGGCGCAGTTACGAAGTTGCTGCCGACACGTGCCCGTCGGAACACGATGCAGCTGACGGGAGGGAGATTAGGCAAACTTTCCCGGAGCTTCCCACGCGAGGTACTCTTACAACGAAACAATGAACGCGCTGCGCAACCGAACGCGGGGAGGATGTCCTTCGGTGACGCGCAATTGTTCGACTCGACATTGAACTTTTCACGGTATACACACCTTCTTCCTAGCAATCGCAGTCGATTCAGCTACCGGTACGCGATTCAAGCGTTCTCTCGCCTCAAAGATTCAATTCCGTTGCTCCTCCAACCAACTACGCGAGTCTTTCCTCTTACACGTCACTCCTGTCGCGCAGTTCTCCAATTCGAGTCTAACGATCCGCGCGTAGCGTCTCCGTTAAAAGCGCGTTCTATCGAGTAGCTATCGACAACCGTAAAATCTAGGCTCGGCCATCAAAGCCGAGGAACGGGGGATATAAAAGTCATCGTAAATAATAACGTTTTGATATCGTGCGCACTCGACATTCTATTCCAAGCTTCTGCGTCCATCCTTATTTATAGAGGCATCGCGTTCCGCGTCCTGACGTGATTGTAACCGTCCGTGTCCTTACCGAAAGCGACAGAGAATTGGAACGGACGATCAGCCTTCGGAGGAAGCTTCCTTTAAAGCACGAAGGAAAGTTTTAATTATTCTCCGCCGTTAACGACCGAAGGACAGCGTTTGTGAGATAGATATCGGTGATGCCGATCCGATAGCCGATCCGATAGCCGATCCGATAGCCGATCCGATAGCCGATCGGACACGCGTCCCTCCCGTCTCTAATCAACGTCGATCAGACGCGCGACGGTGTTCCTTGTAGTCACGGTTCGTTCGGCGGTCGACGTTGATCGGTTTCGGCTCGATTTCCGCGCGAGCGCAACGGGAGGAAGAGGGAACCGTCGAATTAAACGGATTCCGGTGTCGCGGATTCGAACGCGGCGCGCGCTGGACGGGACGCGTCCGACCTCACAACCCCGTGGCGCGTAACTGAGTTCCTCCTCGTGACAACACGGGGACATCGCGACACGGTGGAGGTGGAACGGAAGCGATTTATAGATTATGTTGCCGGAGGTAGATCCGTCGAGCGAATTCGCGAAGGTCCTGCGTTCTTTCGCCGGCAAGTCGTTTCGCTGGGATCAATGGTACACTTTCGGCGAGGCGATTGTTAGATCGTTAATGTTATTGATGCTTGTTGAGAAGGAATATATGTATTTATGAAAATAGGTAGAAGGATAGGTATAAGCCTTTAACCGTTTCTGGACTAACGACGTTTGGCGAGATGAAATCTTTCGAAGATTTGCGATGGGATGATTTTGTTACTCGAACTGCGAGATTAGCGAGTAGTTTCTGTTTGTTAACTCCTTGCCTTACGATTTATTTCTCTTTGTTATTAATAGTTTATTAAGAAACAGTACAGATTTAGAGGTACAGTGTATATCATTCTTTGCTCCAGAATATAATAATTGATAATAGAAGAGTAATATTAAATTTGAATTCAAAGGTATCGAGTAATGTTCGTGCCTGTTCTAATCTGTTTGAAACTTACACTACGTGTCTGACACGTTATTATAAGGCAAGCGGTTAAGCAATCGATACAGAATTTAGCGTCATCTGCTAACGGTTCCAGATATTTCAAAGAATCTTCGTCCACGGAGGATTAAGATTCAGTATTTTTTATTTTTCCGTTAGAGCAGATCGCGAAGAGACGGCTCATTTTTCTTCAAAGAGCAATTTAAATGAGGTCGGCCTATCTTACTCGGTATCGCGCTAATCCGGATGATTGAGAACGAGTTTCGATTGACGGTTCGGTGAATGACGCTCGGTTTCAGGTAGTCGTCTCTGTTTTATCGTCGGTTCTAACGGCCTGTTATTTTCCAGCGAGTTCCTCCGATCGTTGTCACTCTTATCGGATCCACTGAATTATGAATTTGCGCTGCTACGTGCGAAACGAACAGTGTTTGTGCATGGAGGCTCGTTATCGTCGATGCCAGTGGTGAGAAGAAACAAATATTGAGTGGAAACCTGGACCGGGTATGCGATTTTCATTTGTTTGCTGATTAAAACACGTTTTACACTGCTTCATTGCTACTAAAAATTCAGTTGTTGCAAAATCCTTATTGCTCGCGCAAATAACTCTTAAAAATAGTATTCAACACTAATATTCTATTACGTTATTATTCCTGAATTACTCTATTATTTTATAGTCCATTTTACCTACAAACTTCTTTACTCCATTTCTCAATTCTCTTCTAATTCCATTATTTACAAGTATATTCCTTACAGGTTCATATTCACAGGATCGATCTCGCATTCCAGAGGAAACAGCCCTACGTCGCAATATGGAAAAACATTCAAAGAAATATCTCAAGTATATTCGGAGCACTTCGAGCAGAATTTGGAACAGCCCTCCCTGAAAATCCGTTCCGCTCTGGACGGCACGTGCACGCGCGTAACGCTCGAATACGAAGTTCACTCCTCGCGGGAGTAAGTAGTAGAGATTAGTTTAGAGTCCTCCTGCCTCGGCGAAATTAAGAGTTCCTTTCCTCGGGTAACTCCTCGCGACGTTGGCGCCAACTTTGGATTTCGTCGATACGAAAAACTTTCTTGTTTCTCGAACTCCATCGAACGCCATGTTTCATTTCTCCGTCGTTCTTTCGGCGCCCGGTAACTTCCTCTTTTCTCTGGTCGAGAGTTCGTTTCAGCCAGATTGGCGGCAAGTGAAACAGTTTGCGACAAGCCACGCCGCAGCTGCTATCGAGTTACGGGTACAAACGTGAATTGTCTCGCACGGTTTCAGTGAACCAGCTGTTGAATGAAACTTCAGGTTGTCCTGTAGATAAACTTAACCCTTAACACGTTAAGCGCCACGAAACACTTAAGCGTTTTCCCATAGAGTTTGACTTTTGTATCAAAGAAAAGCAGGCAGAATTATGAATTGTTGTCATGGCGCTTAACGTGTTAACGGATCAATGGCACTTTTACTTAGATCCAATGCTGCGTTTATGCCATACAAATCATTCTATTGTTTTCATCATTGTTATTACTGTATTATTTACGATCAACGCGCCGAGTATCGTGCTAGCTCGCTTCTGTGAATTTGTTTCTGCTTGTTATCTATGCTAACGCGTTGATTGTCACGATCGTCACCGGTGACCGGAGCATCAAAATTGCTTAAATCCAATTACAATAAAACTGATGTCGAATAACGATACTTGGTAACACAAACAGCTTGATAATAGTCTAACACGTGTGCTATGATACCAAGTCATTAATTATTTAATTTCCTATGAGACGTAGACGGCACTATATGAAACGAAATAATGAGGAAACATACGTAAATTAAGAAACAAAGCTATTTTATATAAATGTTTCACGTATTGATGCATTATAAATTTAATATGATATATAACACTTTGTGATTGTGTTACATCGAATCTTACACTAAATTCAACGATATACCGTGACTCGTAAAAACAATCTCACAGAAACGTCTGCCTTTTCTATTACTTCCGCGTAAACATCATATTCCGATCGGCTATTTATTATTTTATTTTTACAGTGAAACGCACCACTGTCCGCAGCAGTTGACCAAGGAAATCGTAGAAGCATCAGATCGTTCCACGAGCAAACAGGCGTTTGTTGTTCTCAGTGTTCGACATTAGACCGGATCGAATTACAGCCAAGGCTAACCGGACAAATGACTCCGCAAATTTGTCGCTTTTTTTTTCCTTCCGTTGGAACCTGGGGAATATTCCATGCATCTCGTCAGCCGTTCCGTTTCGGACGGGACGCCGTAATCTCGCGTTTTATTCGTTCCCCAGCTTAATTCGTTTCACGGCGATTCGCTTTCCCCGTTCGTTAGTCCCAGGCATTAGAGACGCGTCGCTCGCGCGAGCGCGAAAATTACGCGGCGCAATAAAATTATCGATGTGTTTTAATTGCCGGCCTGGTCTTGAGCGTGTCTTCGACCCTTGCCTGTTATTACACCGTTCTAATAGCTGGCAATTACGTAATTAGCCTGGTACGCGACGAGAGCCATTGGCTTCCATGAGTTTCACGGTCGCGCGTTGGCAGGACGGAGAAAGAACTAATCGAAACGTATCGTTCGGATTTCAGTGTAAATTCTTCGAAAACTCGATGCAGGATATTCTAATCTGATAAGTGTATGGTTCTCAGGACGTGGACCGCAGCGTTGTCATTGCAATTAAGTAATCTAGATTAGATTGAAACTTCGGGAACAAATGAGGTTTCTGGATCATCCGAAGGTCGTTGGTTAAGTTCACTTAAATGTACAAGACAATATTTGCTATCTAGAATAATATTTAGTATGACAGTATAATATAACAGTAAAAGTAATATTTATTCTATTAAATAAAACATTTGTCGGCTCATGCAGAGGCATTTAGACGCAATACGAGGAAGAAGTCATATTCGAATCAGTTCAATTTTCAAATTCCTCCGTTTCAATGGACGAAACTTGCATGGTTATGTAAAGGCATTCAAAGTACGGGCAGTGGGCTTAACTCTTTTCAATTTTCATCGCAACGACGTGATTGCTTTAATGGTTCCTCGAGCAAAGTATATACGTGTGAAGCTGGTGTGCTCTTCGCGTGGGACGAAACCAGATTTCAGTGCAAACAGTTTGTCAATTTTATTCGGTACATACTCATCAAAGTCTCTTACAAATAAACTGAATCTGTTTATGAATCTGTTACAGATCCGAGACACGGTTGAACATTATCTTGTTCACAAAGGTTCCATACACTTGAAACTTTCTTAATGAGAGTCTGAAGATCTTCCATGGCAATTAGCGTGTCCCATCCATCCGACATTGTACTCGTTCGGTACTTCACCGTGAAAATTTCCAAGCCCGTGCGAGACACCGGAATTCGGGCAACGAAACAGCCGCAACGTCGAGGAGCCAGCTAATAATATCTTCGCCGCGTTGCATCAGATTATATCGAAACAATTTGTCATCGAGAGGGTGAGGTGTCACTTAAGCTTCATAGCGGTTGATCGCAAGCGGCGCGTGTCCGCCGGGCTTGAAGACACTTCCCCGGTAAAGGAAGTCTTAACGAACAGTGAACGGCTCTATTCGAGGTAATTCGAACGTGCTTATTGTTCGTAACAGCCGCGTAACTGGCCGTTTTACAGCGCATAAAAGGATGCATAACGTGCCTGCGCCGCGGAGCTGAATGCCCCGCAGAGGTGGGCCCCGCCGTCGAGAATGCACGAGTTGCACGGATCCGAGTCGAAAACGGGTCATGTTAATGTTCCATGGGACACGCAAACACGCCCATCGCTCTAAATACCTAACGACTTAATGCGACTAATGTGATTGGAAATTGGCGGCCGACTTTGGCGCAGCGGCGCGACCGCCGATCGGCTGGAATTATAATTAACCCCTCGCACTCGCAGGTTTTTTCGCTAGAAACATTTGAACATCCGACGAGACAAGGACGATGTTTTGTGGAACTAAGTTGAAACGATTCGCTGCCACTTCTGGGTGAGTTTGAATTGCGAAATGGACAGTCGTTCCGTGAGTCGAAGGGAACATGGAGAACGTGCAAATTGACCTTCTGTACTCGGAAGTTTTTCACTAGAAATATTTGAACATTTTCTGATGAGAAATCTCGACGAGAAATACATTGAGGAACGAAGCTATTTTATTTCAATATTTCTCAAATAGACGCATTAGATGAGTCTGACACGATATTGCAGGGCAAGGAGTTAACGCTGGTTAGTCTTCTTTTCTAGGATGTTTAGTTTTGCGTTTGTTATTAGGAGTATCATCGGTGTTCGTTATGCAAACACTTAGCGGTTCGAATGTGCACCAAGGGATCGGGACCCGAAGAATTAAAAGCATCATCGTGTATTATTACTATGTAATTATGAGTTGGCGGTTAACCGTACTACGATTAACTTGTTGCGGCACACTTTATTAAGGTAATAGTTAGCTCGACGTGATATACACGTATCCTGGCAGTCTCCCAGGGAAACATAAAAACGTTGCGGGAGTCCGGTGACAAGGTCTAATTAAAAAGACACCTTTTTTCCCCCCTTTTCTCGTTGGATACACGCGCGACGTACAGTTTGCACGGCGGATTCATTTTTTTCGGGACGACTTAAATGTTTCTGTTGTTTCTTAGAGAGAACTGCTTCCGTCCGATCGACTTTCTTTTCCCAAGGTCGCGTCGCGAGAGAAGTCAACGCGGAAGCATGGAGAGTGCGAGCCGTCCTCGCGCGCAGAGCGTTGCTCGCTCCGGTGCAATATCAATTTCCTCACAATATCGACGTTAACGAACCGTCGTGCTTGCGCGATGTTATCTACGTTCTGCACGATTGGCAGAGGTGATCGGTTGCTCGTATGTGATATTGATTAAATAATAACCGTTCCAGCGACCGACGTAACGAGGATTCGAAAGTGTGCCCGAGCTTATGAAATAGGAATTATAGGATGAACATTCGTCGCAGTGGAGAGTTATTTAACTCTGCATGGCAAAGTGGACGCCTTGGATTATGCAACTTGTCGTACGCCTCGGCGAACCGGTTGCGTGTTGATAGGAGCAACCGTGAGTTAGCTGAATCGAATATTAACACATTGCGTACCGGCTAATTTTCAGAAAACTGAATTGTGCGGATGGAAATTTTCAGTGAGATAAACTTATATCACTGTACATAGAAAAACTCAGATACCATATTGTTGTGTAATATATTTTAAATAAATAATCAATTCGAATTAAATTTTATACTTTTCTCAATGCTGTGGTAATTAGCGAAGTTGCATAGCTAAGTGTCTTTATATAAAAACGAGATTTCTCTTGTTAATAACTAACACTAAATGTGTTAATAGAGGATTGGTTTCAGGGTTTTTCCGAGGAAACGCTGAATTAATTGACCACAACCATATTTATTTGAACATTTCGGAAGTTACGGTTCGTGTACAGATTCATTCATTTAGTATCGTTTCATATCGCGCAATGAAGCATGGAACGTGTCAGTGTTTAAATAAAAATAATGATAGAATTGTGAATTCGTTCAAAACGTTGATGCAGTATGCCTGGTTGAATTCCATGTAGTCCAAGGCTCCAAGATCGCACGTATCAGTATATATACAAGCCACAAACAGAACACAAATCCGAGAAAGGTGAAGGCGCCGTAACTGGAGAAAGAAATTCATATTACGACAGTGGTAACACATGCTACACAGGTAGAATAATGGTACCGTTTGATGTGTGAAGTTATCTTACTTTATAAGCCAAGCAAAGAACATTCCGAAAGCTAGCGCTAAGAGGAATTTGTAATTAGCCAGTGGTCGTAGGCTCAATCGAGGTGGAATACGTTCTTCGCAACCACTGAAGAATCCGTTTTGCGTTCGTTTCGGTAATTTGACAATTTTTGTAGGCGGCTCTAAGATTTGTCGGCAAATGCTACCCAGGATGCCTCGCTGATGATACATTGTGGCTATCTTATGTCGATACTGTAGAAATATAGTGTTCTAAGTAACTTCCATGTTGCTTTTTATTGTGAGAAATAGTCGAAACGGTTGTGTACCTTTTGATTTATGTAACTGCATTGTTTGTATAAAAATCTAACTAGAAAAGTACACTCGTCTGATCTTACTGGTTGTAACTCAGGGTCTCCCAGATATTCGATATATTGGCACGTTTGTCTATTTTTTTGTATAGGTACGAACATACCAGGCTTACTGGTGTCCAAACTCGAGTCCATCTAAAAGATGAACGACTTATAAAAACCCATCGGATTAGGTAAAATCATTAAAGACTTATCCATTTAGTACCTGTGATTGGTGGCAGAAAGAGGTAGACAGAATGCTATCATGGTATTCTTGATCAGCTTCGATAGCTACTTGAGGAATATCTTCCACGTTGATCTGCAAATATTTTCAAACATATTAATACTCGATGCAAAGGAATAACTTGTATTTCTAAGAGAAACGTTTACCTCAAAAATTTCAATCAACTGTTGTTGTGCGTTTGCCAGATACACAGGAACTCGTCGCCGTTCATCTATACTAATGTCATCCGAGGAATAATCTTCGCCATTAAAAAACTCCCATATCGCTATCAAAAATCTTCTGTTTTTCCTCTTTTTTTCTAAGGCTTCAATTAAACTAGTTGCTGTTAAATGCGCTTGTTTAATAATGTTTAACAAGCGCACGACCTAAGAGATTATGATTCGAAATCGATTACATGGAACTGGAATAATTGTACATTTTGTATACCTGTGAAACAGTCGCCACTGAAAACATTGGAACATATTGGTAGGTCGGCCCTTCCAACTCTAATATCTGTTGCCTCACAGTAGAGGCCCATTGATTAGTAGATACTCGAGTTCTGCTCAGTCCAACGTCGTCTATTTGATTCTCTACCTCGCAGATCATTTTCGCCAGAAATGGTTGCGAGAATACCTAGAGATTTACATATTAATGAAATAATTGATCTGTATATACACTTTATATATATTGAGCATACAGCTTTCTTACTTTAGTAACTCTGAACAGCATTAAGGCATTTTTCGGAGCTACGAGATCTGTTCTCATAAAACGTGGAAGTAACTGCTGAAATATGGCTGTATAGGCTAATAGATTATTTGCAACGAAAGGCATCCACCTGTACGCATCGTGTATCTTTCCTCTTTCTTCTTCCTCTGACTTGCTGAAAATATAAAAAACGGTTGGCACGGCTATATTGCTTCCATTAAATCGTATGCTTACCCTTCTTTAGTGTACGATATACCAGGGAAATATCTCCAGGGTTGAATGAAGCTTAACCATGTTTCAAGAATTAATCTGAATGAACTATCCAAGGGCCAATGGTGTATAGCTTTTCGGAGGAATGTGTAAATTTTACCTTGGACAGAAGGTAAAATTATTCTGAAAAAAGTCACATTTAGTCTATGTAAATTACCCTAATCTCTATATCGCTTGACATCCGTTAATACCGTTTAAGTTCGTCCATTGCACTTTTGACACCTGTAGCACTGTTTGCAAATTCATGCAAAGTCTTTATGAATGCTCGTACAAGACGTATGTGCTCTCCAGAATGAATACTATGCTGTACATAAAATGGAATATAAATATGTGTATATAACAATTTTACTTTGTGAACTTACTCTGCATGGGACAGGTATGGGATAAGATGTCCCTAATCTTGTATTCAACTGATCATCTTCTGTATATTCCAGCCAGAAATCAAGAAAGACTTGAACTACAGTCTCACTTCTCCAAACTTGTGGCAGACATTGCTGCTGAGGAACTGTTGAAGTGGAATTAGGTGAACCAGGCGATAATATAGAGGTTCTTAGTAATCGCGGTGTTTGTAGTCTGTAACAGTACCCCGAGTGTAACTTTTAACTTCCTTAACTTAGCAAATAATGCAGTTAATTTCAATATACCTTTTAGTTTCAGGAGATTGCACCAACTTTCGTTGGGGCGTTTTCCTAATATATGGACCAATTACTGGGAGAACCGATGAATTATCCCTAGGTAAAAAATGATATAAATAACAATGAGCTAACTGAACATAAACAGTCTCCCAATTGATCCAGACATTTTCCCCTTGCACTTGCAACCATGGATTCGTTAAATGATAAGCAAAATGGAAAATGTAATATTCAAAAGGATCTGTAGACATGTTAAGGAAGCAATCTAAATTCTGTTGAATGTACAGATTTAATAGCATTTAAAAGGATACTCATATTTAAGGCAGATACAGCACGCGTGCCCTGATCATCCCTAATTTTATCAAGATAAAATGGTGGTATTACACCTTCCTCCAACATGGAACGTATTTTTACCTAAAGTAAAAATGGAAGAAACAAAATAAACTCTGCTTGCATTCATATTTTCTTTCAACGTAAAGTACTTACTTACCGGTAAATATGATACTGGGAAATTATATTTTAAATAACAATCTGGTAATAATTTGTAGCACAAAGAAAAAACTGGTCCCTGTGGATTTAAGAAGTCACATAGTGTTTTATATTCTTGTGGATTCTTCTTGAAAGTGATACTGTGCAATCCCCAGCCGATATTATCTATTATTCCAAAGATTGAGTCTATCAACATTGGGAGAACATGCTGTAATTCTGTTGTACTGGATTCGTCTATTAATGTTGCTATTTCCTTGCACCGTTGGACCAATGGCATGTTCAGGTACCTCTGCAGTTTGATCTGCATGTGTAATATATGCAAATGAAATAAGAGATTTCTATGAAATGATACAGTTATCATTTAATATTATACAGAAATTTTAATGCAATACTATATTCCAAAAATTCATACAAGTACAATTTATTACACGCAAAAATAAAGTTGATCATTATCGTTCACAACTTGGACAATATAAGAACTATACTACTTTAAATTCTTTCTACAAAGGGGGCTTTTTAAAAACTAAAATATGTCTTGAACTTTCCAGAAACGACGTTCTATTTATTATCTCATTCTAATTTACAATACAGTAAACGTATACATATTTTATGTAAACAAACACAGTACATACATTCTTCTGCGAATTGGTTTATTTACAAGAAATTATATATTGTTAAAAATACAGTACAATAACTTGAAATGTTCGAACGCATAGTTTTAATTCAAAAATTGCTTCTTAGTCACATTTTAAATACGCCGGTTAACACAATAGGTTATGTACAGGTTATATTTTTCTGACAATTCGAAAACTGAGTTTGTTAATGTTAAAAATAATACATAATCAGTACCGTAGCAACGTCTGTGGATGCAGCCATGACTGTGTTCGCTCGTTTTTACGTGAATTATTGAAAATAACATTTAAATAACGATTACTCATCAACTGCGACTTGATTGCGTCAAACACGCAATTCCTATTAGTAACTACTGTGCATCATGTCTCATACGCGATGCATATTTCTCGGTTAATTATAATTCAACGTTTATATTATTTATCTGAAATTAATAATTATTAACAACTACGCGATTAAGTAATACTTTCATTCAGCCTCGTACTATGTATCATATAACCATATAACCAAAGAGAATTACTCTACGTTATCACGATCATCGAACATAAACAATTTCACCAATATCTAATATAAAATCAATTTCATGATTTTAGAATGAGATAACATATTTAGAATATGTTAAGTCGTCATCGTTACTTTATATTTTACAAATTTATGTTTCTTAATAGGAATCGAGTATCTTGTATACTCAATTCCTACTTACACGTCTCTAATAAAAATTGGCGGGAAAAGTTGTTAAACCGCGTAAACTTGAACACCGGAAGTGGCATCGTGTAATACACAGTTCATTCTTTCTTCCATCGATCTTTCGTTACGCATCAAACAACTTGAGACTGGTAAATAAAAAAAGCAGTATTATTAAAAAAAACCATTCCTATAATATTCTTTATTCATTTAACATTTCTTTTTTCATTCGTTTCAGGCGCTTGCTTGAACTAGGAATTTTCAAATGAATCTTCAATCCACCCGTGCTCTTTGTACAAAATTTGTTTTATTTCCCTTGTAGTGCAATATTCATTCACATCGATATACTCGACGCACACGCAGCAGTGCAGGCTCCCATACGATCATTCTTCGTACAGTTATCCAATAATTTAAAAACAATTTGACATTCATTGTCTCTTCTGGCCACAAGAATAAATTCCAGGCTGGTACGTCGGTAAAAATGGCACGTATCTCGTCCACTTCCATCTGTCAAAAGGTACATCAATATAATATACAATATAATACATATTTAATCATATTTAATTAATATAAAATTTTCTTGTAGATGGAGGAAGCATCGAAATGGTCCTCACCTCCTCATAAGGCCCATTCCACATGGAAAATCGAACGTATTGTACACGTATTCTCCTTGCTCCTGTTTGTCATCGCTGTCAGTTTCCAGTGCCATTTCGTTTGCCCAAGCTATGAGCCCACGTTCCTCGGGTGTGCCTTGATCAGGAAGAACGAGTAAATCATTTCATTAACACTAAACGTACTGGCACTTATGTTCCTATCATAGATTGCCTCAGTGAAAACAGGAACAAAAGGATAAAAGTCAAAAATTAATCAGACAATATACAAACTGATACATAAAATTAAACATACAAAAGAAAAGGCAGGATATTAAATTTCTATGACCAGTCTAGTCTATATTAACACATCTGCTGCCAGTGTTACACATTTATGAGGGTTGTAATCCTATACTGTACACAATGAGAATGAAATTAATCCTATGGATAGTCATTAGAAATTATAAACTACATTATATTTAGGTACTCACTGACTCGTTTCAGTTTCATTTTTCTAATATTTTGTTTAGATTTATTAGATTGAAGAGAATATTATAATTGAGGAGACCGTCACTGAAACACGCGCTGGCAGCGAACGCGTTAATCAATATAGAAAATACACCTGTAAATAATCTATTTCTGTCGACTTGTTTACAGACAAGTGGAGCACTCGCATAGGATTATTAAAATTGCTTCACACTGTACCTGGTATAACATTATCCAGCACGCACCCTACTACACCCCCGACTAAGATGGTCGTGCTGAGCAACACCGTGATCACGCCGTCCGCTATGTCGTTTCCGGTCTGTATCACGTCCGAGTGTTTAATCATCCATTTCGACAACACCTGTAAGAACGTTCGTTTATTCATTAAGCATGTTTGTTCATCAGGGAAGGAGATGTTCACACGAGGAACGGAAACGTCTTACCAGAGGGAAGAAGATAGAAAAGCCAAGGATGTAAAGGTTCCTCGCTGAATTCAAATCTACGTACTGCAACGCGGAGAGACCTGTCGATCAAAGATACTCATACAATCATTCGTTACTCATTCCCATGGAAATAGAAACGTTAGTTGTTTCACGCACCAAAGGCACAAATCATCCCGAACATCACGCAGAATATTCCACCGACTATTGGCTCGGGAATGATGATGAACACGGCGCCCAACTTGCTAATTAATCCCTGCAGTATCATCAATCCGCACGCCCACTGGATCACTCTGCGACTGCCAACTTTTGTTACACCTGTGATCCGACAGAATGTAACGATTATTTCTCAACTATGATCCACAGCTACTTTATTATTAATAATTCATTGAAAATCAAAAGAAATCTAGGTGTATTCTATGGTAATGTTTGGTATAACGTATAGCAATTGATAACAAGAATAATATTCAATGTGTTAAGCTTGCTTTAACACTAGAATTACGTACCAGTCAAAATGACTGGTTTCGATTTTTTTGTTTAACAATTATTGATACCTTCGAAGCATTGAATATTCGAAATGATTTTGAAAATAAATAGCTTCATTTGAGTACTATAACGAATGTCTGAAGAAACTAAAAATAATCTACTGTTACAATTTTTACGGGAATTGCATATTAATCGTATTAAATGCTCGGTAGTTCTAGTGTTAAAATCTTCATCGCGAGTCTGACACGTAATTCCTTGCAATTCAAGGGGTTTAGTGGATTCGCTGCTCAGAATATTGTTCCTCAAAGGTGTATCATCGCATAATTGAAAAGCAGAGTGTATTATTTACTGGTAAGCTTAACGCGTTGCTTACCTATCGTGCCAACGTTCTCCCCAAAGGTGTTGGCACCGTTTCCGCTGCCCCAGAGGCCGGCTAACATGGTGCCGAGGCCCTCTATGCCCATGCCACGGTTAATGGCGTGAACCGGGGGAGGAGGGGCGCCTAGAAATCATATTTTCATTCGTTTTACTAACAAAATTATTTCTCTGCTTTCAGAGTCTACAGCCACTATTAGTTATCATTCTAAGATACACATCTGGCGTCGCATACCGCACATCCTGGACGTCGTGGGATAATAACTGATAGATTCCACGGTGCAGGCTAGAACTCCAGCCAGCATGCCAAGCACACCAGACAGAGTCACGGTTGGAGTACCCCACTGGCCAGGATAAGGCACCCTAAACCATGGTGACTGGCTGAGGATCTTCAGCTTGCTGTCTGACCTCGCCGGATGACCCACTGGCAGAGCGTCGGTTACAGTTAAAATTATGCAGATTATCCACATGACCACTATCGTCAGCAACACCTGACAAAGGGTATAGTACAGTGTTAACAAGTTTCATGCGACAAGATATGGAGGAGGTATATAATTAGTACAACAGAGGTATAATTAGTAGCAACTATTAACCGTGTCAACAATTAATCTACTATTCTGGTAAACAGCTGAGCAGCTGGAATGTCGCCTTACCGGGAACAGTTTGAACAGTTCGAACCAGACGACTCGCACCCCTTCGCCTTTGCGGTACATTAAAATCGGGAACGGCACGTTCACCAATACTTGCGAGTACATCGTCAACATCAATATCGTCCTGAAAGAAATCAGTGTGTTTAGCTCTGTCGTTGGATCATTCATTCCTCGAATTTCTTTGAGTTTCTCTGGAAACCTACCCTACCGCGATGCCCCAATGTTGCGACGCTGCGTCAGCCGCGTTCTCGAAGAGAGACAGCCCCACTAGCGAGACGGTTGGCACAATTGTGAGCGGCGTTATGAATTTCAACAGGTAACCGATAATTCCTGTAAACGTTCATGGTGAGTCGTATATCGAAGCTGATTTTAATGCGTTGTTCAATACCTCCGAACCCGACGACCACTTGGAACAACGAGGACACAGCAATGGCGCCCGAGAGCTCCCTCATTCTGACCTGCCACAGTTCCGTTCGGTTCTCGGCAGACATCTCCTCCAGCACTTCCGGCGCGGGGCATTTCCACTGTGGAAGATTCAGTATCGCTAACGTTGGGACTAGAAACGATATGGTTCCTCCTTGTACCAATGGCAGCCTGGAAGATGAAGCGAATTCAATGTCGTTCACGGTTCATGATTAGCGAGACTTGCTTCGCATCGGGAAATTTCTACTGGTTGACGTTTCTCGAATAATTTTGGTACTTATTCAAATTATGCAACTGTGTAAATTTTCTAGAATTAAGTAGTTTGGTGGACAAGATAATTCCTACATCATGAATGAGAGAATTAATGAACTTCTCAGATTGTTTCTGACAACTGCGTCTCCTTTTCACAGGCTTGGAACGCCGAGTGTCGTAAGTTCCGGAAGAACGATCGTCCGGTCACTCCCGGAACAGCAGGAATTCCTCTGTTATAAAATTTGACATAAAAACCGGATGGTAATTCTTTCCGGGAAACTGCGAGGGACCTAGCCGGCAATAAATCTTCGCTAAACAAGAGTACAGATCGTCTTCAGCAATAAAGTTACGAGGATTAACGCCTAGGCAACTTGTTACACGTTCGCTGGCGTGCGGTAGGCAATCGTAATTATAATATCCGCGTTGTTTTTCCTTGAATTACAAATTCATGCAAATTCGTATCGCTCGTAATTCGAATTACTTTCTTGTTGAGAAGACTATGTATTTATCTCCTCCCGGTCGTTACTCAACGGCCATAAATCAGGAGCGCAACGTGTACTTATATCTTCAGCACCTGTTTGATCGACGAGAATCTCATTCGAAACGATTACTTTCATTAAATTTTATAATTCAACCGGCGATCGTATCTCGATTTGATAATCATTAGCTACGAGGCTCGAGTTTCCGTCGCAGTTGCATTAACAGCTCGCGGGTTACATAGGCGATGCGGTCATAAAGCTGGCGCACAATTAGAACGGCGCCTGTTAAGCGTCGTTTATCGATTTAATGGGCTAGAATCATTCGCTGCTACTTCTGTTGCTTACTAGAAATATTCAACTGTTTGCGTTGCTGAATATTTTAACGGTTTAGCGACACATCATCGTAAACACTGATTTTTCCAATGATAGATTAAGTTACATTCAAGCTATTGCTGATTTTTGATATATTTTGATATTATTTCTTCACATTTTTATTGACGTGTTCTATTCTTTGGCACGTGTCTCACAAAAAATGTGCTACAGAAATGGCGCGTGCACCATAAATGGTACACGTGGCGCGGAACGTGTTGAGATATCCATCAACTCATGTTTCAGTTCAAGTATTACTAAATCAGCTTCCTTAGTAATGTAAAATTTAATTCTGAGATAAGCGTCTGTTCCTTTTTAGCAATTGTAACAGAAGAAATCAGGATTGATGTATCTGTAATCCCGGCGTTGAAGACCGTTTCATCCATCAGTTTGAGGAATTACCTGCATCCGATCGAAGTCTGGAAAAAAGTCACCAGCCCGGTAACGAAGATCATAGTGGAGATTATGTAACTCCTCGACGGATCGTCTTCCGCCATGCAGAGAGCCGGCGTCAGGATGAAGGGAATCGAGACGATCGCCCCGATCATGGTCAAATAATGCTGAAACAAATCGTGTTTCTGTCTCAGGTCTCTATTTACAGTTTAAATAGAGAAAGCTCGACCGATAAGCACACCGACGGGATTAAGTGTCGTTGAACATTAAACTCGTATGATTGATTGCAGCAGTCAAAGTCGCTGAAAGTTCGAGTGAAACTTAATCGGGTAAAGATATGTGACCCGTTAAGAACCAAGACGTTACATTCTTATCTAAAACAAGCGTTACTATGTTCCTTATAAATTTTATACTGGTTAGAATATATTAGAACCGTTGCAGGAAACAATTATCTTTTAATTCGATGGCTGTAAAAATTTAAAGTATTTCGCTTTGAAAATTTGGTTTCAACGCTGGAACTAGTTACATTATTATTCAATGGCTATAAAAATTGTAACAATAGGTTATTTATAGCAATAGAATATTCAATACTTTTAAAATACCAATTCTTGCGAAACAAAAAAATGGATAACAGTCGGTTTGACTGGTACGATAGTTCTAATGTTAAATATTAATATAGTTTCAAGTACCGTATATTACAACTGGCCTCCTTATCTCTGTCAATGGAACTAGTTCGTCCTCAATTCTATACCAAAATATTTTCACACTGGAACCACTTATTTTCTATACCACAATATTTCAATAATGGCTCCAGTTGAATAATTCCTGAATTCTTTCATTAATATTGCGTTAAGAATACCAAAATTCTAAGAATATTTTAGTAATATTTCAGTAATATCTTCACCGCGAGTCCGACGTTCGTAAGACGTTAACGCTACTCATTGAATATTACCTGAAGAGCCATGAACAGGCACAGATACCATGGCGGCACGTCGTCGATGCCGTACGTGAGATTCGCGCCCCTTTTACTCTCCTGGGCCTTCGCGCTCTCCGGCAAGAAGGTTCCATTATCTATATTCTAGAAAAATGATAAACTATACAACGCGTAATTCAAAAATAATGAAATGATCCGTTGTTAAGGCGCATCCATTAACGAGCTTTCCTTTCCGCAGGGTCCGCGACTCTCTAATGGCGTCGTTACTTGCCGCCCGCGAGGAGCGTCCCCGTTAATTTAAGCGGCCGACGCGAGAACGCATGGGCGTGGAGACGCAACGGAAAAAAGAAAAATCCAAAGCGGCCAGCAGGACACTATCCTCGCGCGAATATATGTGTTATTATAATAAGAAGCTTGGTTACGTAATTATGCAGGAGAACCGAGTCGCAACACGTATC